TCTGATATCTATCTCTAAACTGAGGATCTATTCTGGGATCAACAACAAACTGTCTCCTCAACGTGACACACGTCTGATACACAAAAACTACTACAACACAAGATGTCCTGAATCTGAGACACACACACACACTGCTGCTGCAGCGTTTAGCAGCATACAGGGATGAGAGTGTTGTGCTTACTTGGATGTTTTCAGGCCCACAGTGCACCGCTGATCCATTAATGCATTAATGAAGTTCTAATCCTCCCATGGAAAAAAACACACTGAAGCTGCTGTTTCATAACAAAGCAGCTGTGTTTGCTGGAGCCCTGTGTGTGTGTGTGTGTGTGTGGGCGTCACCCAGCTAGGTGCTTAAAACTATAAAGTTTTACTCTTACGTTTCCTGGTTTAAAACCTGCAAGCGGGATTAAAAACATGTTTTCTTTAAAACAATAGCCTCAACCATTTATCACAGCCACAAGCTGTCGTTATCGTCACATTCTTCATCTTTCCGATGGTCCTTGAACACATCACGTGTGATGAAACGCTTCCGACAAAAAAAGCATAAAATTATATTTTCTTCAAAAACATTTTCTTCTACAAGTCTCCTTTAACAGCTCGTCACAAATAAACCGTTTGAAGTAATCAGATTCTGTAGGAAACATTAAATTGTGAGCTCTTCAGCTCAACCATGAAGCCATGATTGATTCTCCTGAGACCAACAGTCACAGGACAATAATCCTGTGAACCTTCGACTGAACGTCAGGCTGCTGAGCACAGAGGCTGTGGGTAGCAGCGACCAGCAGCACTTGTTTGGTGTCCACAGGAAACAGAAGCTGTTTTCTACTAACGATCCTCGTAGAAGAAGAGACGGATAACATTCACTTTATTGTTCCACGGGGAAACTTGTCCTGGACTCCAAGCTGCTGCAGCACACAACACGACGCACCTGTAACAGAGATCACACCGTACATTCACTCATCCATCGATGTGCTCAGAGACACGTGTTCAATAAAACAACAGACAATAGTTTATTCAAACCAGATAATAAATAATAAAACTCAATATCTCAGCCTCTGAAGCCCTCTAGTGTTCGCCGTTATCCCCAATTTTGCCATAAAAGCATTTCTAGCCTTCACTATTTTGTGAAATAGCTAAATCTGTAGAGAGATAACGGTGTAAGCGTGTTCATAGAGGATGAGCAAACCAGGAAAATGGCCCTTCGGTTAATCGCTGATCAGCTCGTTAAAGTAGGCGTCACCTCCGCCGCTCTGCTTCAGCCTCGATGGCGCCCGATGGGCGGAGCCGCCGGCCTCCAATTATCACTTTCTACAGAAAACTGAATGTGCCGATCAGAGACGGACTAGCGGCTGTTGATCACACGTTACTTTTACTCACCGCCGATCATTTAGTCTTTCTTTCTCCTCTACTAAATCACATCTTTGTGTCTCACGCTGTGCTAAAAATATCGTTTTAATTCAACACTGTAATAAACAGAATGTATAGATTAAAGGAGGGTGAATCTGAGCTTCACGTCTCCTCGGCTGCTGCTCAGGCTGTAGGAATCACAGCATGCTGAGTGATTACTACGGTGTTTTTAAAGGTACCAGCCTTCTTCCTGTGTGTCTTTTTCCTCTGCAGCCCCCCCCCCCTCCCTGCCAGCTGGGGCTGTCTCTTATATAACCCTGGTAGTCTGTAGTCAGCTTTATGGGCTCTGCAGCAGTCGGTATCTCGCCGGCTCTGTGAGGAGATCACAGTGAATTTGTGCAGCCGATGAAATATGTTCTAATGTGCCGAGTTACAGCTCCCTGAAACACATTGTGAGGTCATGTGATAGGATTGGCACCTTGTGAGGTCATGTGATAGGATTGGTACCTTGTGAGGTTATGTGATAGGATTGGTACCTTGTGAGGTCATGTGATAGGATTGGCACCTTGTGAGGTCATGTGATAGGATTGGTACCTTGTGAGGTCATGTGATAGGATTGGCACCTTGTGAGGTCATGTGATAGGATTGGCACCTTGTGAGGTCATGTGATAGGATTGGCACCTTGTGATTTGTTTCGTTTCTTCGCTCCCGTCCTTCGAGCGTTAGAGACGCTGCGTTTGCAATTATTAATGAAAGCATGTTGGATGATTTATACATAAATATATCTATAGCATAGTAGTAATAGTAGTACATCATATTTTTGATAATAGCTGATGGTAAATTTGAGTAGATTTCACTTATGGCGTGTTTTCTAAGTCATGTGACCAGGTCTTTACTCACACAAGCTTTGTGTCTTTGTTGGGAGCTGGCGAACAGAAACCTAATGTATAAATAATCACCACATTGAAGTTGCTCTGGATAAAAGTGTCTGCATGATGAATGTGAAGTATACGTGTGAGTTATTTGGGTATTTGGGTAGAATCCAATCAGAGGATCACAGAAATGTTTTTTTTAAACTATAGCTATAGTTTATTGTAACAGAACACATAATAATATTCTGTCTCTGCAGAAATGTGACACACATCCTGAATCTTAATTTCCTGAGATCTGCGCACACACACACAGACACACACACACACACACACACAATGGTAACGCCGTCGTGTCCGCTTCATACCGCAAATAAACGGGGTAATTTACCAGAATGTGTCTCCGTGTTCGTCAGCGTATCTCGTTACCTGAAGGTCTCTCTGCTCCGTCTGCCAACAAGCAGCTCCACACGCCTGCCGTCCTCTTTACATTTCATATAAAACTACTGTTTCTTATGATTTGGAGCTTTGAGCACTCAGTACTTTGAGAAATGTGATCGCCCCAGAAGAATGTATTATTATTACGGGAGTGTGTGCAGCACCTTGTGTTGTCGGATCAAATGTTCGTCACCAAAGCTTTATAACAGAGAACGAGGCCTTTGTCTTTCTTTCTCTCTTTTTTGACTTCCCATCCCGCCGGTGCGAGCTGGCAGGATTGCACGGGGGGGTTATTATTTGAAGGCTTGTGTTAACATAAAAGCCGGCTCATAAAAAAGTTCCCCGCAGTGAAAACGACCGAAATAAACACGGAGCCGGAATAACAGTTCATCTCACCTCCCTGAAAATGGAGGCCGGGGGACGGGAGAGGCATTAGAGAGGGGGGGGGGGGGGGTACCTGGGGGGGGGATGAAGCCATTTGCTGGATTTTTTTATTTATTGGTCCAGAGTGCATTGCAGCAGGATGAGAGATGTGTTTATAGCAGGACTGCAGTCTGACCTCTGACCCCGGTGTTAAAGCAACTGCCCGTCAGATTGTATGGAAGCTACGTGCTTCTGTTGCACGAGTCAAATGTTCTTGTTGTTTGTTGTTTGTTGTTCTGAAAGCATCATTCATACTTCAGTGGACTCCCTCGCAGTACTGGCCATCTCTTCCATGTGTTAGGCTGGTGAGGACGCTTCACTCTGCATCCTACTCTCCGGTTCCAGAACGTTTCCGGCGATCATCGTTGAGGCTCAAAACATTTCAAGCTATAATTACCTCCTCGTGGTTTGTATCCCTCCGCCAACCGAGTCCAGCTTTAATTTACACCCACGACATCTGCAACACGTCTCTAATGGACCTCAATCAGCTCTCGCTGCTTAATCACTGCAAACATGTGTCTTCGTCTGCAGTTTAATGACGTTAACTGCCGTTTGGTTTGAATAAAAATTAAAGAGCTCCGACGTTTTTTTTTGTTTCCCACTGAAGATATGAAGTTGTGAAGTGTCTCTCACTTATTGTCTGGTGATGTGGGCTGGAACTGTGTTAAAGTGTTTACGCGTTCACTCTTTTGGCTTTTTATTCACGTAGAGCCCGTCAGCAGCACTCCGAGTCATGTAGAACGTCTGTATTCATAAACACGTCCCTGCTTCTCGCTCTCTGGCCTGTTTCTTTATTTAATTATACTTTTTTTTAAATCGGCATTGTCTCTTTCACCGCACGCTGAGCTCGCCATCTGCTGCACCGTCAACACCCTTAAAAAGTCATCGCTGCATTCTTAATTACCTCCGTTTAATCCCCCCCCCCCACCCCCCCTTCAGGGAGATGAAAGGTTATTAGAAAATGAGTCGACGTGGAGGGATTTATGCAGAGTGCAGCAGGATACTGTGTGGATGGAGGTCCTGGTGCTTTTATTCTTCTTTGCTTCCTGTTTGTTTGCTTTGTATTGATTTTAATTGTCACCTGAACGTCTCGTCGTCCAGACAAGAAGAGAGAGAGCTGCTCCAACGAGCCAACTATCAGGACGCTCTGTTAATTCTATTCTATCGCTTCAGTCACAGAGACAAAAGTTTGTGTTTAACGTCTGGTTGTAGACTAATCGACTGATTTACATGCTGGGCACATCTTTACATTGTAAGATGTGGCCTCTGGCCTGCAGGAGGATTTAATTAAGATGAATTAAAAGTGAAAATGATTTAGGTTCACAGATTTTGCTTTGTAGTTTATTCTCCGTGACTGAAGTGTTTTCGGTTGGAGCAGCTGATATCTTGTATCATGTTCTGCAGGAACAAAAGTGATGTAAAGTACAGTATATGTGCAGCTTTAAACACGAGGTACGTCCACAGTAATGTGTGTGTTTTAATCTGCCTACAACCCAGTTAATCTATAAAGATCTGTTGACAATGAGTGCAACGTCTGAATTCAGAAACTTGTCACTTACGTTCGTCTCAAGTAATCTAAAGCTGTGCTCTCATATGAACCGCCATGTTGTTGTTTTTTTGCAACCAGTGAACAGGAAGTGACCATATCTGGACTGAGGAGGAGTGACGTAGAGACGCCGTATACGTCTCTGGCAGAGACCTGTCAATCACTGTGTAGCCCCGCCCTAAAGCATCCCCTGCTTTATGGTCTGTGTGACTCTAAATGGACCATAATGTACTAAATGAACATCATGCTGTATTGAAGAAGACTTGAAACTAGAGATTGAGACCATAAACTCATGTTTACAATGTTTACTGAGGTAATAAATCAAGAGAGAAGTAGAGTCATTTTCTCATAGACTTCTATACAACCAGAGGAGTCGCCCCCTGGTGGACACTAGAGAGAATGCAGCTTTAACACATGAAGCATCGGCTTCACTCGGCAGAGCCGGAGGTGATTACACCTCGGTCACGTATCGGGTTCCTAATTTTGTCATAAACAACCGAGTCTTATGACCATTTCTTGAATTTGTCTGACATCATCATTGCTTATTATTTTGTAAATGACTCCTCTTCTTCATCCTCGTGTGTTTGTTTTCTTCCTGGTTTCGCATTCAGCTGCATTGGAAACGTTTATTCTCACATCAGGACATCACGCGTTAGACTTACTGCGTAGAGTCTGCTTTAATGTCCGGTCCAAATGATTCAGTTGTTTGCGTCCTCCGGGTGATTTCTTTAATTATTATCTCAAGGTCGCATGTGTGAAGGTGGCTCACGACATGTCGCCCTCGATCTGCCTCCGCATCACCTTCCTCCTCTTCCTCCTCCGCAGTCATCGACAGTCAATGACGAGATGTGAAGAGGTGATGCATCATCCAGCTCTCTCCTCTCTCACCGTCGGCGTGAGAACGAGTCTCGTTAGCATTCATGTGTTGACTTCTACGCTCTCTCTCACACGTAGAGCGTCCTCCATTATTGAGCAGTTGTAAGCGCTTTGAAGTTCTGCTGTTTGGGGAGTTTTATTATCTTTTTTGGAGCTTGAACGAGGGGTCTTTATGAAAAGACAGAAAGCTCAGCAGCTGTATTGATCAACACCATTTTTCCAGATTTTTCTCTTCAGAACAGTTTATTTCTAAACACACGATCATAATAAGGAGCCGCCGTCAGCTGTGCTGTGTTCGTTAAAACGGGGTCACGGTGACGGAGAATCGAATTGACTCGCGTCTCATCAGTGTTTGACCTCGTGTGGCAAAAAGCTGCTTCATCTGATGCATTTAACAGTGGGGCACACATTCAGTCATTTAATGTGGCCAGATAACGTTTAAACAGTTTCACAGCGGCATCAGAACCAAAATCAAAAACCAGAGTCTTGTTGAAGGTTTTAATCAGGATAAGATGTTTCTGTAAATGTCCCATATTAAACAGGAAGCATCTGTTCAGTAAATTGATTAACTCAACACAGAGCAACACGAGCTGAGTGACTTCCACTGATATATGACACATGTATGACAACAATAAAGCACGTGAAAGTGTGTTGGGATTACTTGTTGTGAAACATGAAGCACAATTGTTCGTGACTCTGACTTTCAGGATTATCTTCTCAGCCTTCGATGATGCAGCCTCACATGCAGCTGATGCGCATTCAGAGCAGCTTAGAATAAGCTTTAAATCAGGATCACCGACATTATAGGCAACAAATACAGAAGGTTAAAGCTGCATCACCGAAGGAAGACGACACATGAATGTGTGTCACGGATGTGTGACGAGGACTGGAAACGGCGTTCGGAGGCGGTTGACTTTCACGTATAAAATGTCCATTAAATCCCGATATTCCGGTAATCTTCGGCACCACTGGGTCCACAGAGCATGCTCACTAGCGTCTCCTTTAGCCCTCGGCCCAGCCTCGTCCTCAGGAAATTACTCTGGATTCAGCTATTAATGAATTTTAACATTTGTAGGACCTAATGATTTAAATAAGGGCATTTACAAGTGTTACTAATCAGAAGTTGATTTACTTAAAATATTGCAATTATCCACTGAGTTACAGACGTCTTCTTCTCAATATACGTCTGTGGGAAAAAGTGTTTGTGGTGATGAACCTGGAGGTTGTAGTTCCATCGTTTGGCAGTAATATAAACGTCGGTGTTCTTGGATGGTGGTCTTCTTGGGGGCTTGACGTGTTTCCTCTGAATGTTGATGTACAATAGAGAAATATAACGTTCAGAATAAATGTCTTACCGTTGGAGTTATTTTTAATTTCCTTCCTACAGTGAGAGTCTGACCGAGAGGCCGACAGCCGAGAGACGTCCGACTGCATGAAGAGTGCCGGGACCCTGGTCCTCACGCTCACCACTGCCTGGACATGGTGAGCGTCTGTTTGTTTACGCTGTGTGTTTTCTAGCCATTGCTGGTACCTTCCTGACCCATGAAAACTATTTTAGGCTTCACAAACTAGCTGTCAAAATATATATAGATATATATTTATACATATATTATATAGATATATATTTATACATATATTATATAGATATATATTATATAGATATATATTTATACATATATTATATAGATATATATTCCTTTATATCATGATGTATGTTATTCTTCGGCACACAGATGGAGATGAATCATTTTTAGAAGAACAGAACCGTTGCATGAGGTCATTTTGAAGTGTGTTGTCGGTTGCTTTCACAGATGCTCCGCACGTTTTTATATATTCTGTAAACCGAGCCTGTGTGTGTGTGTGTGTGTGTGTGTGTGTGTGTGTGTGTGTGTGTGTCACATTTTTTTATTGAAGCGCCATCATAAATAACTCACCGTAATGAGGGTGTGCTTACACGGGAGAGAGGGGAGGAAGAGGAATGGGGGAAAGAGAGAGAGAGGATGGGAGATGAAGAGGAAGGGGTGGAGAGAGAGAGAGAGAGAGAGAGAGAGAGAGAGAGAGAGAGAGAGAGGATGGGAGATGAAGGGGAAGGGGGGAAGGGATGATTGAGAGAGATGTAACAGTTTGACCTTGAACCGAAAGCATCGTTTGATGCTCGAGCTAGTTCAGCACATCAGCGTGTTTCTTCTTCTTCTCTTCTCTCCCCTCTCAGAGGCTCCAGCCCTCTTAAGTACATGTCATACATGCTAATGGTAAGTAACGGCGGCGCTATCTAGGCCAGGCGGAGAGATTGGCAGCAGCATCAGGTCGCTTCAGGTGTTGCTGTCACGATGAAACCCCAAAAAAAACAAGCTCCTGCGTTTTGCACCAGAACGTCTTGAGCGAGGAAGTCGACGGGGGGGGGGGGGAAGCAGCATCAGGCGTTGAATTAAAAAAACGTGTTCAAAGTTCAAAGAAAATCTATTTTGCTGTGGATTCCGTCTGCTGCTTCCTCCTGCGAGTTCACTGTCAACACATGTAGGATTAGTTTCTCTGCAGTGAAACAGAGCGACGACGACGATAATAACCTGTCAGACCGGTGGTCCGATAGTTCAGAATCGATGACCTTTAACCCGGCTGAGAGCGGCTTTACAGCAGATGAAAAGCAGCTGAATAATGTGTGAGATATGCTTTGAAATGTAGACGTGAAGCATGTGGAGGAAATTTGGGATTTACACCTACTTATACGGCCAAAAGTATGTGGACAGCAGGAGATAACCTCTAAATGAGCATCAGATAAGTACTTGAAGTGTGAGGCTGCATTATCAAAGGCTGAGATGTGAAGCCAGCGCTTTAAACCTGCATTCTCTCTAATGTCCACCAGGGGGCGACTCCTCTGGTTGTATAGAAGTCTATGAGAAAATGACTCTACTTCTCTCTTGATTTATTACCTCAGTAAACATTGTAAACATGAGTTTATGGTCTCAATCTCTAGTTTCAAGTCTTCTTCAATACAGCATGATGTTCATTTAGTACATTATGGTCTATTTAGAGTCAAACAGACCACTTTTCCGGTGTTTTGATCTAAGAGGTACCGGCTCTTTAAGTAGTGCGAGCTCACCGATGACATTCATGCTGATTGATGACACTGACCGTCTCACAGGTCACAGGTCGTCAGGTTTAATTCCTGCTGAAGTCCATTTAGTGTCCTCTCTGAATGTCCTTGAGCTTCCATCTGAACCTCCACCTGCTCCGTCTGTGTGATTCATGTGAGCATCAGCTGGAAGTGAAGACGTGCCTGAAATTAATTTTAAAAGGACGTTAATTTCTCTTTTCCCCAGAGGTCGTTCCGATCATTTGCGAACGATGACCGTCACGTCATGGCCAAGCACACCGGCATCTACCCGGCGCCGGAGGAGCTGGAGGCCGTGCAGACGCTGGTGTCCACCGTGGAGGGAGCCCTCAAGAAGGTCTCCGACTGGATGGACGGCCTCAACGAGTCCTCGGGGAAGACCTCCGCCAACGACGACGAGGCCGGGGACAAGAAGGTGGAGGAGGACGCTGCTGAGACAAAGTATGTCACGCTGGACGTGTTTTTATTTTCTGTTTTTATTTCATGTTGTACCGCGTTGATTAACCCTCTGGGGGGGATGATTGGATGATTAAACAAGCTCAACAAACAGTCATAAATGATCAACGTTTGGCCCGTCGCCTAAACATCCACACAGAGGTTCTGGATTAACAAAGCGTCTCTGTGGACAGAAACACAGAAACATTCTGTATTATAGATATGTAGTCTGCAATGTCTTCACAGAGATTATCACATAATGTTGGACATGATGTTAACATCCGATTCTTGGCTTTGGTCGCCATCAGTGGGAACCACTTTTTCATAAATAATAAATAGTGACATAACACCCGACATGACGACCAGGAGGAAGATTCCTCTGACTCGCACTAGTGTAATCATCTTAAGGCTAGTCTGGAGAGAAGAACGTGTTACAGGAAGAACCAGTAACTCTTTGATTGTTCATGAGGAATGTGAACTTTGTATCTAGACAGACTTGGAACATGAATTCGTTCTTTAACCCTCTGAATCCCAAAACCTGCCGGCAGGATTGGAAAGCATGTTTTCTTTAAACTTTCGCCAAAACTCCGCACTTCAACCTCGCCAGAAGCTGAACAACATCAGACACACGTCATGTGTGACGAGCGCTTCAGTCAGAAAGAGAAACTGAAAACTAAGCCTGAAATTGTGATATTTCATCAAAAACATGTTATTCTACATCTCATTTAAAATCTATTCACAAATCAACCGTGTGCTTTAACCAGAGTCTGCATAAAACATTCAATGATCCTCAACGCAGCTATGAAGCCATGATTGACTCGACTGAGACCAACAGTCATGTGACAACAAGGAGGAGACACTTTGACTGAAGTTCAGGAAGTGAACACAGAGGAGGGGAGAGGAGAGGAGAGGAGGGGAGAGGGGAGGAGAGGAGGGGAGAGGGGA